GAATTCTGATTGAAAGCTATGAGAAAGGACAAGGAGCAAAATTTAGAAAGTACAGTGTGACATTATGCTAAGTAGGATAGGTGGGCAGGCAAATTAGGGTAGAGGTAGTCCTCTACACCAGTGGTCTCCAACCTTGGCAACTTTAAGACCTGTGGACTTCAACTCCCAGAGTTCCTCAGCCAGCTTTGCTTAAAGTTGCCAAGGTTGGAGACCACTGCTCTACACCACAAATGACCCCACAATGTATGTGGCTAAGCAAGGTAGTTGTTAAGTGAGTTATGCTCCATTTTGTGACTGTTTTTGCCACAGTTGTTAAGTGAATCACTGCAGTTGTGATTCTGCAAATCATGTGGTCATTAAACTAATCTGGTTTAGCCCATTGACATGGCTTGTCAGAAAATTACAAATGGTTATCACATGACCCCAGGACATTGCAACTGTCACAAATACATGTCAGTTGCCAACATCTAAATTTTGATCACATGACAGTGGAGATACTGCAACTGTCATAAGTGTGAAAACTGGTGATAAGTGACTTTTTTCAGTGCTGTTGTAACTTCAAACAGTCAGTAAAGGAATGGTTGTAAATCAAGGACGACATGTACTGCATATATGTAAATTGCTGTTAACTATGACAGACACCGAACAAATAAAGGATCTTGGATTCAAAATTTTAAACAAATACAATGCAACAATTGGAAGACTGGTGGAAAAATTCAATAAGTCTAATTTAAGACAAAACTGTCAAAGAAATGTTTTCAAGTGATACATTTTAAATGTTGTGACAATTGCAAATCTGTTTATTTAGGGATATTTTATTTTCCCTCCACTATATCTTTTCTTTTTTTTCTTTTTGTGTAGTCATTCCTAAAATGTTTGATAATAAATGTATTAAAAACTGCCATGTGTTAAGTACCCATTTGTGTTTATAGAGACCTTTTGATATAGCCTAAAACCTTTTTGATGTACCCTAGGAAAAAAAATCATGGGTCTGATAGCAGACTAACAACTTTTATTAAATGCATATGATTTTGTGAGTAACAACTCCCTTCCTCACTCCTTTTAATGAAGTAAACTCTGCTCATGAAAGTTTCTACTGGTAATATCTAAGATGGATCAGGATCAGGATCAGGATAACAATGCCCCTTGCTTAGCATTCATAGATAAACATTTAAGAACGATATGCATGCAAAAAAACCACAATAATTCTCTGTCTCAACCCCTGCCCACGGGGAAGCAAGAACGTACTTTAAATTAATGGACTTTAAGACCCAGAAGCATCCACACTTCTCGCACTCGCCCGAGGCAGATAGATTCCTAGCGGAATATCAAAAGGGACTGCACCACTAAGATTCAAGAAACGGGGGGAGGGAGGGGGGTATTGCCTATTGAGCTTATTCGATACGTAGAAATCTTAGTACTGAAAAACGATTTTAAAAAAATAAAATCGTTTTTTTTAATCTACCTCTAGCATCGATACATTTTAACCGAAAGCCTTGCCTTGAAATGAATGGATGGGTTTGAAAGCGTTTAACCGATAGGGGTAGCTAATCAAAGCGGCGTAGGCCCCCCTTTCGTGTCGGTTTTCAAACGCTCCCTCTTCCTCCTTCGGTCCGAGAATGAATGAAATGACGTCACGCTCAGGCGAACGCCAGCAGCCAAAGGATCAAAGTGCGCAGTCGGATGCGGGCGGCGTAGCTTTAAGTCACAAACTGCAATTATTTCCTAGCTAGCTGGAAGCCAATTTTCAAGGGGTGGGTGGATAAAGTTGTAATAGCGCCCACGTGCTTCTACGGATTGAGGGTGTGGTGAGGTTTTTTGTTTTTTGGGGGGTGGGTGGGTAAGGCGGTAGCCACCAGCAAATCGCCTTGCTCGCCTGATTTTTATGAGCCTCTGGGAAGTTTACCGTACAGAGCAGAATGCGGCCGCCTCTTAAAAATGCATCCAATTTGGTGCCCTCCAAGTCTTTTGCGAGTGCAATTATCTAAATTCTCAAAGGCCAACGGGGCCAAAGGACAAGTTGAGAATGACCAGAGTTGTCGTTTCAGTATATTTGGAAGACTTCAGGTAGGCGAAAATGACCTTTAGTGTCCTGGGCACAGCCAGTACCTAACGTTTGTTCTTTAATAATAGTTAAAATCGGGGGTAGTCAACGTTTTTATATCTACCGCCCACTTTTGTATCTCTGTTAGTAAAATTTTCTAACCGCCCACCGGTCCCACCGTAATGGTGATTTATAAAGTAGGGAAGTCAATTAAATTTTAAAAAGAAAAGTGCTTCTATATCAGATAAAACCCCTACCGCCCACCATGAAAACTGGAACGCCCACTAGTGGGCGGTAGGGACCAGGTTGACTACCACTGGTTAAAATTAACCAATGCTATCTGGGCTGAAAGAGATTACGCCTACCGGCATACGCAGACCAGAGCAGCGTTTTATGAAAGGAATAGCCACAATAAATGGTCAATGCAGACCCATAAATTTGATTACTACTACCCAGGGCTCCCCAAACTTGGCAACTTTAAGACTTGTGGACTTCAACTCCCAGAATTCTCCAGCGAGCTGGCTGGAGAATTCTGGGAGTTGAAGTCCACAAGTCTTAAAGTTGCCAAGTTTGAAGACCTCTGCTTATTGTATAATTATCCATAAGGTATTAGTAGATTGTATTGGTTAACTACTAGCTTTTTCAAGCTAAAATTGTGATTCAGAAACTAGCCCAACAGGGAAACTAGATTGTGGACAAATGCATTCTAATCAGTATTTAGGCTGAGTTTCAATCCCTTGTTATTACTTGAGCTCCCTTTGAGCAGTCAACAAACTGTGCTCAAAATTGCATTCTTAACAGATCTATTTTAATGTCAAGCAGGTAAAATTAACAGTGGGTTATTTTGCTTTTCTTTTTACTGAAAAAAATATTCTTTCTTTAAAACTTTATTTAAACTTTGGAATAAAGTGAGATAAAATGAGGACCCAGATTATTGAGGACAATATGATGATATTTGCAAACTACTCAGAGCTATCCAAGGAGCAGTATATAAATCTAAGCCTTGTTGCTAATGCTAGCATCTGAAGTAGTGTGATCAAGCAGGATAAATAATTCTATTAGGTATTATAACAGAAGGCTATAGCAAAGGGTCAATATACCTAATACTTCACATCCTGATAGCAGCAAGAATGGTGTATGCAATGGAAAAGTGAAAACATCCCTTCAGAAAAGGAGATAATAAGGAAGATATTAATATGCGCAAAGATGGATAGACTAACGTTAGAATTAAAAAACAAAGGAGAGACAGAATATCTTGTCACGTGGAACAGATTTTATCAAAGGCTGAAAAAACCCGAGGTAGGAGTCGGAACATGAAAAAAATTAGGCTAAGTAGACCTGGAATGAGGTATTATATATGTATTGGTCAAAAATAATTGTACAAGACTAGCACTGTGTAAGTAGTATATATGTTATTTGTCTTTCACTTTGGTTTTTATGGCAGATGAAATCGAGGATGGTCATACTGTGTTCGATATACCGTATTTTTCGGACTATAAGAAACACCGGTGTATAAGATGCACCAAGATTTCGAAGAGGTAAGTAAGAAAAAAAGTTTTTGCCTTCCCTCAGCCGCCAGAGGCATTCTGCAGGCTTCAGCACGGCTGGGGCAAGACAAAAACGCCCCCGTTTCTGCCTTGCCCCAGCCCTGCTGAAGCCTGCAGAGTGCTGTGGGAGCTGAGAGAAGGCCAAAAAGCCTCAGTTTTTGCCCGTTTTTCGCAAAAATGGAATGTGGGAGCGGGGCTTTGGGAGGCTAAACATAGCTGTATTTGGTGTATAAGACCCACCAACATTTCCACACTCTCGGGGAGGGAAAGGTACATCTTATACTCCAAAAAATATAGTACCTGTATGTAAATAATAAAAATATATTTTTCTAAAAAATAAACCAGGACAAATAATTTAACAATCAAATTATGTGTACTATCTTGGTAGGTATGTGTTAAACCTATTGTTATCTTACTAAGGAAATAAAGTATTCTTTGTTCAGCATGTTTACTATTAAGTTATACAGTCAGAACTATGCTTTGAAAGTATAAGACATGATTAAGCATCCTTACTGAAATTCAGCTGTGACTATCAATGCACAGATAAACAACAGAAACTGTACATATAAAAGCTTTTGGATGATCTTGTCTCACGCTGGTTAATGTGTTCCTTGTGCATATTTTATCTGAAACTATTACGGTACTTCAAAATATTTATTATAAAAGGACATTTCCATCATTCATAATCCCCTGAAGAAGGTATTTTTTTCTTCAAAGTACAGGTAGTCCTTGATTTATGACCACAATTGAGCTCAACATTTTTGTTGGTACGTGAAACAGTTGTTAGGTGAGTTTTGTCCCAGTTTATGACAGTTGTTCAAGCGAATTACTGCCATTGTTAAGTTAGGAACACAATTGTTAAGTACATCTGGATTCCCCATTGACTTTGCTTGTCAGAAGGTTGCAAAAGGGTATCGCATGACCCTGGGACACTAAATGTTATAAATATGGGTCAGTTGCCAAGCATCCGAATTTTGACCATGTGACTATGAGGATGCTGCAGTTTTTTAAGTGTGAAAAATGGTCATGTCACTTTTTTCAGTGCTGTTGTAAATTGTAGTAAATTGAGGACAACCTGTATACTAGCATTAAGGTTTTTTTAACAAGTGTATGTGGACTTTATTTTCTTTTGTTTGGTGCATGTCCTTCTATTTCTCTTTAATAGCAATAGCACTGAGACTTACCGTATTTTTCAGAATATAAGACGCACCTTTTTTCCTCAAAAAGAGGGTGAAAATCTGCGTGCGTCTTATACACTGAACACAGCATTTTTTTGCCTCCCCAAACCCTGCCCCCTTTGCAAAAATGGTCTGCACAGCCTTTAGGAGGCTGTTGTCTCTCCATCTGAGGGCTGACAGATGGACCAGGCTCCGCCTCTGTCTCTGTCTCTCTCTCCTCCCTCCTCCCCCCCCCCCCCGGGGTCAGGCCACAACATAACCACTTCAGCCCTTTCTAAGCAATTTACAGAGTCAACATATCTGGATCCTCATTTTACCGATCTTGGAAGGTTGAATCATCTTTGAGCTGGTCAGAATTAAACTCCTGGAAGTGGGCAGAGTTAGCCTGAAATACTGCATTCTAACTACTGCACCCACAGCACTAATTTAAAGATGAAAAGTATCATGCAGACCTCATGCATGCAATTTTATGTTGTTTGGGGGGAAAATTAGACACAGAAATGAAATAATGTATGTTTTCAATTACTGATGTGTATTTCTAAATAAGAACTTGTCTCAGAATGAAATATAATTAAACAACATATATTAAAAAGAAAAGAAAGTAAGATAATTATGTAACATGGAGAATGAGAACATTGCACTGTGGTTAGCTTTAAAAAAAAGATTGAAGTCTGTGGTTTCTCCCTCTGTTCTCATTGGCTGGATTGATTTAACTGGCAGAGGATATATCAGATGAGTGTACATTTCAACCTGCCTTGTTGAATGTTTTTGATGTTTTTATTTGATTGCAATAAGTAAATCTTGTTTGCTTTGATGTCAACAAGTAAGTCTTGTAGTTGATGAGTTTTCTTTTCTTTAGTGAAGGTTAAGAAATGCAAAAGGTAGTCTTTGCTTAGTAACCACAATTGGGCTTTCTGATGCTAGTTATGAAGCCCATAAGCAGGGATAACGTGATCATAGGAAACTGTCATAAATGTGTGCCATTTGCGAAGCACCCTTATAGCAATAATGGATTGATGTCATGGTCACAAAGCTTTTAGTTTATTGCCTCTTAATTTTGAATCATTAAACGCAGTCAGTAAATGAGGACTACCTGCACCACATGGGTGCACTACAGGCAGTGTATCTTTCCATTCAAGCTTTCAAACTGCCAAAATATTTTGGTTTCTTGGTTGCACTTGACAGATATATTGCTAGTTTTAATCTGTAAATCTATTAAGAAGCCTCAAAGCCAGGGATGGGTTCTGGCTTCTGTTACTGCCGGTTTGCTCAGGGACGCACTTCATGCATTGGCGCGCTTGATGTGTGCAATGCACACATACGCAGTAGTAAAACAAGATGGCCACCTATGGTGCTGCCGATAGAACCAGTTTGGGGGCGTGGTGGCCGAGTTACTACCTACTCGGCCGAACCAGTAGGAACCCACCTCTGCTCAAAGCAATAGTCAGAAAAGTGTGCAGTAATTTTGTTACTCTGTTGTCTGTAGTCTGTCCTGAAGACAGATCAGTTTATCCATATGGCATGAGTTTTTTGCTGGGCTTATGCAACTATGCAAAATATGCTTTCTGGAGGGACTGCCTCTCTGCAGTTATACTTTCCTGCCCTATTAAATCTATATTTATTAAACATGGCAACTGAAAAGATAAAAAGTAATACAAATGAAAAAGGGAAAACAAAATAAAGAAAAATAAGAATATAGACAATAAAAATATATAAATGACTTCTTCTATAAAGAATTTAGTAACTTTAAAAAAATGCAACAAATGATCTCTTTTCCCCAAATCTAATTTCTTATCTAGAATTGAATCCTTAAATCCTTATTCAGTCCTGATCATAAAAGTCCCCTAAGAATGACCAGAGAATGCACTGTGTCTAATTTTAACCAATTACATATTTTTTATTTTACTTTTAACTGCTCTTTAAACTCTTCAAATAACGTCCTAGAATTTGATTTCTTTTCATTTCTTTGTCCATTTTCATAAAATCTTTCAAAATTTTAAGAAGTCTCTTTTGTAAATCCAATATAAGAAAATCATGCAGGTCGCACTTTTGATTTGTTACTTTGCCTTATTAAGACACCAGCCAGTTTCATTTGTGTATCTGGTGTAGCTTATTTTTCCATACCATTCTTGAAGTCTGTCATTTTTAAATCTATTTTCAGATCAGTGTCAATTTTTTCTGGTAAAACCCATCCCTTTTCCATAACTTATTTAAACACAAACTTTATTTGTGTTAAAATAAGTTATGGAAAAATTAATTTCTGGATCGATTATTCACAAGTATCCTTCAGTAAATTCAATATTAAAATATGTTGCTCCATTCTTTACTAGTAAATCATATTTAAGAATTCTTCACCTTTAATTAAAATCTTTAGTTTCTTCTGGTTTCCCTTAGTGCCCAAACTTCAAAGTTCTATGCTATCATTTTTGAAAAAAAAGAATTCAAAAGAGGGAGGGAGGGAGAGTGTGTATGTGTGTGTGTTTTTTTACAGTTTTATTGCTTTAATTTGTTGTATAATAAACCTTATATATTGAACAGATAAATAACAACAGAATATCAGATTGGTTTTGTTGTCTCTTAGTGATTAATGGTCCATGTCTTAGCTATAAAATTAACTTTCTTGGTATAGAACTTATTCTCTAGATAAAGGGTGAAATCCCTGGAATAGGGGGAAAGATTCTAATGCATTTCAAGCAAAATGGTACCTAATACCCATTTTCCCCCTCTCTTTCTCTGATAGATGCCTGTTCCCAATATGAATGACTACGAAAAAATGGATTACATAGAGAAATAACCTAATCTGGTTTAAGACCAAACCAGACTGCTTCTAGGGAAACTACAATTTTGTGAGACTCTTTAAGAGCTAAATAATTAGCATCCTGCATAAAATAAGTAGTAAAACCTGTTTATTCTGAAGAGTACATTGTGTGACACCAATGTGGTAAGTAAAATTTCAAGGGCAGAATGATGACAGAAGAGATACATTATTTTGAATATTTGCTTGTCTGAACAGGTTTGTAGAACCTAAAATTATTAGTAAGTAAAAAGATGGTGCCTCCAAAGTTTTCTATACTGACAACATAACTTAACACATATAAGAATACTCAAGTGGATTGAAGTTCTAACACTTTTTTTGAATAAATGTTTGGGTAAAACTAAATTTTACTTGTTTCATAAACATGCAGTATTCTGAACAAGGCTATATATACACAGATAGATAACAGAATAAAGATTTAACTACTGTAGCAGTTAGAAAAAAAATGCACTCCTTTGTAGGCATCAGTGTGGATTCATCAAAATAACCTTGTCCCTTTTAGGCAGTGTGCCTAATTGATCACAACAATATAAATACATTGGTTTTGGCAAAATATTTATTTATTTGTTTATTTCAGGGGTGTCATACTCGATTTCATTGAGGGCTTGTGTTTAACCTCAGGGGACTGGAGTGGGCATGGCCAGGGTGGGCGTTGTCCCTTGTGGCAGGGGCGCCTGTGATGGCCCAAGCACTCTGCCAGCGAAAACGGGCTCCCAAGCTCCATTTCCAGCTGCAGTGGCCTCTTGCAACCCTCTGCCACACCAAATGGAGTTCTGTTTTCACTGGCCGAGGCACCGCGGGCCAGGATAGTCCTGCTGACCAGATCTAAGCACCCTGCAGGCTGCATCTGGCCCCCAGGCCTTGAATTTGACACTCCTGGTTTATTTATTCAATTTCTAAACTACCCCCATCTCAGTCTGGGAGACTTAGATTCAGAAAAGAAACAAATATTACAATTAAAAATACTAATAAAATTTTAAAACAATAAAAACACTAAACATCCAGATTAATAGTTGAAAATCTCTCATGATATTCTCATAGAGAAGATGGCATAATGGATGCTAAACTATGCTATGATTAGCTGAACATCCATATCATTGTATTTACAATTCTACAGGAAGCTAAGGGGAAGTGTTAAGTGTTGAACTGACTGTATTCAGAAGACAGCAAGAGAAGTGATGAAGGACCCAAAATGAAACACTTATAAGGTACAGTTGGCAGGACTGGCAAAGTTTAACATGGAAAAGAGAAGGCTGCAAATCCACTATGGTGATATTTATGTAGAAGAAGGGTTTTTGCGTAGAAGATGACACATAATTGTCTGCATTGTTCAAGAAGACAAAGAGAAGAATCCATGGATTTATATTCCGAGGCAATAGATTTTATTTGGACATCAGAAGAATGTCCTAATGGTCAGAGCTGCTTTTAAAGATGGTGGCCATCTTTGGGTCATCTTGCAGGAATTGTGTTAGTATTCCCGCACTAAGTAAATATTTGATTGGAACAACCTTTTAACGTTTCTAGGACCTATTTTAGTAAGAATTAAAGGGATCACATTTCTTAAAACAGAATAGCTGTTTTAATTGACTTCTATTTGATTATTGAGAAATTAAAACTTCCTATTATGTCCTATACAGACTAACACATTTGGAAGGGAAAGTGTAGGTCATCTAGTCCAACCCCCTGCCCAAACAGGAGACTCTACACCATTTATGAAATTTATGTCTCTTCTTGAAAGCTTCCAGTGATAAAGCTCCCACAATCTCTGAAGGTAAGCTGTTCCATTGGTTGATTGTTCTCACTGTCAGCAAATTTCTTCTTATTTGTAGGTTGAATCTTTCCTTGATCAGTTTCCATCCATTATTTATTGTCTGGCCTTCGGGTGCTTTGGAAAATAGCTTGACCCTCTCTTCTGTGTGGCACCCTCTCAAATATTGGAACACTGCTGTCATGTCTCCCTTAGTCCTTCTCTTCACGAGACTAGCCATGGCGAGTACTTGCAACTGTTCATCGTATGTTTTAGCCTCCAGTCTACTAATCATCTTCTCTGCACATTTTCTAGCGTGTCAACATCTTTTTTATAGTGTGGTGACCAAAAACAGCATGCAGTATTCTAGGTGTGGTCTTACTAAGGTTTTATGGAGGTTTTTTTTTAAAAAAAAAATTT